CCCCCCCGAGCCTAAAAACCCCTTCGTCAAACGATCAGACCGCAGATTCTGTGCGGAATATAAACAGCATCCTGAAATGCGGGTAGGAGGTAGAGATATAATAAGATTCTTGTGCTGTCAGAAAAATAAAGATGTCAAATACGTATCTTTTTGAAAATCAACACACATATATCCAGCCAAGCATTCAGCTTAAAGATAAAGTGGAATGTGCAGCTAAGACATGAACCTCCAGTAGCCTCAGAGTGCCCTCTAGGTAGTGCTAACATGGAAAGCCAAGTGACAATTTTAGCAACACTCCCCCGCAGTGACACAATTCAAACAAAATTGTTGCATGTTCTGTGCTGGCCAGAACGAGCATTTACTTCACCTACAGCAACCAGGACGCGGCGTTTCCAGGGCAGACACCTCGGAGCACACGAGATCCCTTCCGAAGAGCAGCGCCCATCAGGGCAGCTCCAGCACAGGGACAGGACAAGCTGCAAGCCCCACTCAGGTGCACTGGGGACTGGAAACCTTCATCAAAAACAGAGGCTGAGCTGTCGAGTCTCTGTCACGTCGAGGGATTTTTGGAGTCCTGCTTTTGGGTCCCTGTCAGCCTGTGTCCTTTTATACAGGCTCAGCACTCAGTGCCCTTCAAACCAGCGGGGAAGAGGTGGCTCAGCTGCAGAGTGGTACAGCAAGCTCCCAACTTGGGCATTTCTGTAGCAGCTCGGGACAGAGCTGTCAGACGTGCAATAAATTTAAGGAAGTTGCGCTTCAGATCCATCCTACATGACTTGAGACACCAAGAAACTTCAGAAGCAAGCCCCAGGTGATGCTGGCGCTCTGATGTGAAATATAATAATGGAGAAAATAAACGGGTCAGCAGATTACACAACGAGACTCGGCATATTTGACAGTCTTTGCAAGGAAACACTCGATCCTCAGGGCAGTAAGGCACAGCCTCAGACCAAACCTGGGCTGTAGCAGCATGGTACCGGGCTGAGGCTTGTGTGCCAGTAAGCCTTGTCCCTTCACACAGCTCGCAGGCCGGGAGTAACGGTGGATGAAGAACTGCTGCTGGAGCTCACACAGCCACCGGGCTCACTCTGCTCAAGCTCTCCACAGCACTGTCTTTAGTCTGAACACCTCTCGAGTCTCACACACTTCAAAGCATTTCTCTGCAATGTAATCTAAGCCCATGAAGCCCAGGTGATTTTGAACAGCTCCTATACGAGCTGGCCTTACGCAGCACCGGCAGAGGCCCACCACCATTTACTGACTCGGGCTCTGCCCTGCACTGGGCCCCAGCATTGTTGTGCTTGTTCTTCTCTGCACAGGAGTTGGGAACATACACGAACTCCTTCCCTGTGTCAGACACTGAAAACAAGGCATTACAGGGTTTGAAAAGGTCAATTTCTTTTTGAGAAAAGATTGAATCTGGACCTCAGGCCATATGAGAGGAAACAGCCAAGCCTGGTGTTTCAAGGCCAAGTTTTAACCAAAACCTGACCCAGAGCAGGCTGTCTGCACACAGCACAGCCAGGGACTGCTACACTCACCCTTGTAACATCCAAGGTCAGCAGTGTGTCCTCAAGAACAACTGTTCCTACCAACACAAGTGACTAACCAAATTGCTGAGTTGGGCCATGATGGATTCAGGACTACAAAATACTCCTGGCTGAGCTGTTGGCTCCCTTTATTCCACACGAAATGGATTCTGCAGGCTTTTCTGAGAGATGATCAGAGATACTCAGCACTCATCTTCCAGATACCAAGAAGTTCTCGCCAGGAGCTGCTCCCAGCTAGATATCCTTTCGATGAGATAACACGTGCTCCTTGGCTCAGGACATGAAGTGCTACCACTTGAAGAAATGCTTCAGAGCTAAGCATGCCAAACGCCCAACAAGTCCAACACTGTGACAGCTTCATTTTAAGCAACAGAAGCACCCACTCACCTCAGTCATTCATTTATACTTCGACAACCTCTGGTTTTCCTTGTGCCAATATGCATTACCCTAAAAAGTTACAATATTCTGCCAACTTGCAGTTGAAACTACTAATTCTATCTGCTGTTTTCAGCCTACTACCTCAACAGAACTCCAGGGCAGGCTCCCGAGCAATGGCTATAGACTCAGACACATCCTATGCTCCAAGGATGCATTTTTGGGGAGTTGCCTTTCACAGGCTCATTGAGTCTGTGGCAGGGACCTCTAGAGATGCCCAGCAAAACATGCTGCTCAAAGTGGCAGTGATCAGAGCAGGCTGTCAGGACCACGTCCAGTCGGGCTTTGAATACCTCCGAGGATGGATAATCCACAAGCTCCCTGAGCAGCCGGCTCCGACATTTGCCCACACTCACAGAAAAAAGTTGTTCTCCCTCGAAGTGGAATTTCCTGTGTTTCAGTCTGTGTCCATCACCTGCAGTCCCTGCACTAGGTGTCACTGAGAAGAGGCTGGGACCACAGCAGTAAAGCTGTTTTTCCTCTAAGAATGAATGTAACAGAGAGGAAAGGTTATACAGAGACTTGAAATACACAGAAAAGTGATATTGGGACATAAAACCTTTTCCATCCACAGTGCAGGCTGAGTGCCCATATAAGCTTGGGTGTGCAGTCACCCACGACACGCTGTGTGCAGTGCTATATAAACAATACCTAACAGTACAGCATTTTTAACATTTTAGTAGCCCATCACACCTGTGTCCTCAGCAGTTATTTTAGCATAAACAGCTATGGGCAGTGAAAGGGTAAGGGTGGAAAAGCAATACAATGGGGCATAGCACAAAAGCCAGGTACCAAGTGACAAACAGCACTCCAAAGTGACAGCAGGCCTGGGTTACTGTACACACCTGCTGACTAATCCTACAGGTTCAGCTCACTTCGGGACATTAAGCTCCTTTCAGAGGGAAAAACAGCATCCTCCGACAGGCCCAGCACCACTGCTCGGGACTGCACTGGAGGCAAACAAGCGAAGAGCAGACCCCAGGCGAAGCACAACAGTTTGCACGCTCAGAATGCAAATTGGAGCACAATGCCCTACCTGAAACAGCCCTGCACGACGGACACATGCTGCTGCAGAGCAGCCACCTTTGTATGTGCCTGGGCATGTGAGCACTTACAGGGTCCCTCTGCCTCCCTCGCAGCGAGGTCTGAGGTTGGCCGTCTTCACCCGCGCACCGTTTCAGGCAGGCATCAGAGATATTTCCCCATCGTGACGTGATCAGTGACTCAAATAACCACAAAACCCCTCTAACCACTCCTAATTCCACTGCAGCCAACAGCACCACAGCTTTTCCCCACCAGGCTCCTCTTACACGCTCAGAGGGATGAGTGTCAAAAGAAAATGACACACTCGAGGCAGCTGACCCAAATATCACTCTCACAGCCATATTTTTATTTTTTTCTTGGGGGGGGGGGAAGAAAAAAAAAGAGAGAAGCCAAAAGAGAACAATTCTGTCTGCTCCTGTAAGTCAGAGGCTCTCAGCTGAGATGGAGACACTGGAATGGGTATGAACACCTAATTCACCCAGCACCGTATTATGACAGGAAAAAGGAACTCTGCTAGTGCTTGCTTCATAAGGAAGCCTCAAAAACTGGCGTGAATGACACACAAATACAACAGACACCCCGTGCCATGACACTGTCTGCCACAACGCCCCCGATCAGTCACTCTGCAACATTTAAGAATGGCCGCGGTTTCGCTGTGACCCAGATTCCAAGAGGACTGCTCTTTCCCAGCTCTGTCAGCTGGTCTAGCAAGAGATGCCACCTCTCCCTACAATGGCATCACTCAAATCCATGTAATTGTTTCCTCAATGGCAGCTTTGTAACTTGACTGTACAGAAAAGGATGTTCTGAAGGCAAAAGAGGAGTTTGCAATGGAATGTGTATTCCAAATCCTTACCAGAGACCAATTCACAAGATGTCCCACACTTAAATTAGCTCTGCTAAACCTGGTCAGGACTTCCCACCTGTTCAGACAAAGGGCAGGACAGCTTTCCAGACCTCTGTGACTTCACACGGCTGTGAGGCTCCTCAGGCAGAAAGCACTAACCTCAGGAAGATGGAAGCTGTCAGCAGCCGGCTAAGCCAGGAGGCCGCCTTCTCGCCATCGGTTACTGCAAGTTACCAGCACACCGCAGCTATGCACGAGGGTCGTGCTGACCGACAGCCAAGGACAGAGAACCCCAGACCTCCAAAAGCACTTTCAGTATGACCGGGTATCCAGCCTGCACGTGGCTGGGTGCAGTGCAGATCACACAGATGCTCCTTCCAGAGTGCCACGCGAAGAGGAAGCTCTGCGCTAGGACAAGGTAACGGCAGAAACACGAGCTTGTCAGGCAAACTGTTTCTTCTGTCACATACTGCCTGCTGCGGCAACTTCCTAAGCTGCAGAAATAATTGAGAAGTTTGTTTCACTTAATCTGTTTTCAGTACAATTTGTTTTGAGGAAAAGGAGCGCAGTGAATCCAAGCAGATTGCTGAACTGTGATTAAAGTTTTACTCCGGCTTGAGTTCAATGGGAGTTTGAACAGCTTTATTTCGCCAAAGATAAAAAATACAGAATAGTAATGTGGATAGAAACTTACTACGTGAAATTTTTTGTTGGAAATTATTTCCTAGAGTGAAATAAGAAGCCGCAAATTGTCATTTTCCCTGAAAGACCTGAATACGTTTACAGACCCCTTGGGAAGGAAGCTGAAGCACGGATCGTGCCCTCCACGCTGCTCCTCACACAACCACCACATCAGCCGTGAGCTGCCAAAACACACATACCAACTTTTTTTTTTTGCCTTCCTGAAAACAGCCACAAATAACTTTAGTTTATGAAGAACTAGAAGCCCTTTTCCCACTGTGCTTCATGGAAGAGGATGCACTAAACCAAGCACAAAGCAGCAGACAGTTCATTTCATGTCAGCTGCCTGCTTTACCCCGCCATACACTGCATCAGGCTCGTTATTAACAAGGATCATTAAAAGTGGCAGCACCTGCGATGCACATGAGCCTCCCCAATGCAGGGAAACTGCTTAAATCAGGCACGTGAGCTGGAGATGTAGCGGCATACTGAAAAGCTTGGCACTTGAGTTCAGACAGACCATGGTCCCTGCTGCTCTTTGGTACTGCTGGAGATGGAGAAAAGCACCTTGACTACTGCCAGAACCGCCCAACAATGCGGAACTTCCCCCAGCTTCTTATTTCTGAGCTTTCAGGATTGCAGGCAGGTGGTCACTTCTTAACCTAACCTTGTTAGTCGCCGAATGAGCTTCCTGCCTGTGTTGTACGTGTTCTGAGCTCTGCCTGGGAGACAGCACACAGCTGCCATTTAGCAAGGCTACAGAGCCACCGAGACCCAATGTTCAGCTTCACCTCCACACCAGGTGGGCAGCAGCAGCAGGACTGCAGCACGCTGGCCAGGTTAGTGGTTTGGCCTTAGAAGACCTTGCTTAGAAAGTTACCTGTAACAGCAAAGGGTTATGAAAATTATTTTTTTTTTCTTTTATAGCTAAAGAGAAACAGAAAGCAGAGCATATCAGAACAGACCCTCTACCAACACAGCCTCGTTTCAGCCAACGGCTGGAGGCCTCTGCAGTCTTTGGACAACCATTTTACTCCCAAGTCTGGCTAAGGCTTCACCATCAGTTTGCTTACAATTAATTTCCCAGTGGCATCACAAGAATAAAATACTCACGGGAATATACAAGCTTGTGAAAAAACGTTAGCACACTGGATGCTGTGGAGATAAATGCAGGCACAGCCTCATATACTCAAGGATGTGTCACAAACTACTCCTGTGATTGCTTTAGCAGTTCTCTGACGGGCTGACCACTGGCAGGCACAACCATGCTCTCGCAGAGGGGCAAGCTTGCCTTGGGAAACATCCTCACCACAAAGGACGCTCCAGCAGCTCAAGCTGCATCACTTCTCACTCCCTCGGAGAAACAGGATCAGCTGCCAAGCGAGGTAATTCCTAGCAAGGAACTGCCAATGATTTGGTGGATTCCCTTCCTAAAGTACCTGCCCCACGCTGCTGCCATCTGGCTCACCCATGATGACCGCAGCTCCTGTCCCACCACTGCTGGAGCCACAGGCAACCCGGGCGTCCCTCGAGAGGAGCCTCCTGCAGGAAGCCACCAGCAGGAGCAGGCTCGCTTCTTCGTGCTGCTAACAGAGGGACAGTGGCTCACAGGAAAAGTGAAACGAATTCTTCGCATTTCTACGCACGGTACAAAAACCAGACCCATCTGTTCCTCTGGGGACTCTTTGGCTGACACTGAAATGGCTGGAAAAAAAAAAGAGGTCACAAAACAAAGAGCCAAAGTGAGGAGCAGCGGGTTGCCAGCCCTGGGTGGCGTTCACCAAAGAGGAAACCTGCAAGCCAGCTACAGCCTTCCTAAAACCGCCTTGGTACCTGGGGACAGCAGGGAGGTGAGCATGACACCACTTCTGTAAGACAAAGAAACCCTGGTGACTTGTAGGCCTCCAAACCCAGCGCTCTTCGAGGAAACACAGACAATATTTAAAATACAGACAAGAATTAGCAGACTACTGATGGATCTGTATAAATATGATGCACCAGGAAAAAAAAGAAAATCATTGAGACTTCTGTAATGGGACTCCCAGCCTCGCGGAAGGCGGCGCAGACCACTTCAAGTTTCAAAACTTGTGGCTTCCTCAAAGGCTTCTCACAAGGAATCCGCAATGCCAAACCGGAACAGGGACTGTCCCCGCAGGGATAAACAACTGGGCAAGAGATAACAAACAAGGGTGGGAGTAAACAGTCACTTCCAGCAAGGGAGGGAGTCACAGCAATTTTTCTGGGACCAGGCCATTATCTGAGTCAACGGGGCAGTAGGAGGGTGGGCAGCGACCACGTACTCTGATGGTAACACCCCAGGCAAGGAAGTCAAGCAGCTGGGAAGAACAGCAGAAAAATATTATGGCTGTAAGTAACCTGGTAGTAAAGTGGTAGATGAAATTGCATGTAGATAAAGTGAGGCATACACCAGTCAGTAATAAAATCCTCTTTCACACTAAAAAGGATGAGCCCTGAGTTGACCTCGGCGCAGAGAGAGAGATGCTGGGGCTGACAGGCTGCTCCAGAAAAGCTCCAGCGCTGCTCACCACGGCCCAGGAAGCGACCAGCACTTGACCAGTATTGGAGGAGGAAAGCAGGGAGCTCAGAGCACGCTGCTGAGGCTCCGTGAGCACTGGTGGCTCCCCACATCCCGGACACGGCATCACCCACACCATCCCCACCACAGAAACAAGAGAGCAGAAGCAAACAGCTTCGGAGAAGGACAAAACCCACCACAGGCACACGCTGACTGATGTAGGAAGAGCAGTAGGGAAAAAAAAAAAGGTTAAAGAGGCAAAAGGGTCGGGAGCTGCAAAGAACCGAGTAGCCTGGAGGTGGAATGCAGTCGATTACTCACTGCTCCTTCAAAACCGAAGAAAGGGACAGTTGTTCACGCACTGGGTGAGTCTCCAAGCACAAAGCACTCAAAATGCTGCGAGGGGTTTCAAAGATGCTTCTGTTGGGCTTTCGTCTCAGCCCCCACCGCGGGCCGGTGCCACACCAGGACGCGAGGCCAGGCGGCCGCCCCGGCGCGGCTGTTCCTGTGCAGCCCCGATTTGTTTCTGCCAGCAGCTCTGCAAGGCAGCACCCCAGGGAATCAGGCCTTCCAGACACCCAGATCAATAAGGGCTTGGCTACAGGCTGCAAAAAGCACAGGAGCAGGCTGAGGAATACAAATCAAGCTGGATCCTGCCGGAGAGGTGCAGATTCCAAGTGCAGTGGGAGTGAAGACTTCAAGCGAGCCAGGGACTTCGGAAGATCACTGCCATATGGCTGCACGGGACGTCGATGTGTACATCCTCCCGAGTGCTTCAGTTTTGGGTTTTGAAATATCCTGGGAATCCGTCTCCAACATGAAAATATTTCTCCTTTTAAAAATAGTTCAGCTATGCATTTGAAAGCCAAAGGAACTCTTGTACACGACTGACTGCTTTATTTAAAATCGAGGCATTTGTTAATCACCTAAAAAAACATATTTAGTGGGAGAATCATTTTTTTTTTCTATTTTTAAGTAAAATCAGGAGTAAATGTTGCATCCATGACAGCATAACAGCAAGACACGCATTTTTCATACATAATTTTGTCTGTTACACCATTTAGGATCACCCTACCATCTGTACCAGCCCGGTGTGCACAACCCACCCACCCCAAGCCCCCGACCTGCACAGCACCACCTGTGTAAGGTAACAGCAAGGCTCCCAGAGCACCCAGGGAGCCAGAAACTCCCCCTCAAGGTAACAGGGGAAGCATCCCCACGCACAAGAAATACAATCCCCCTTCCAGGCTCTACTAGCCTGTCCAGCCCCGGGATGTCACTAAACACACCCTCATGCCCCAAGAGCTGCCCGACATCCCGCACACCGCCTACTTCAGAAGCACACCATAGCTATCCTTGGTTTTAAAATCCCAAATCATCTTTCACGTTCCTTTGTTAGTTCAGCTCAATCGGAAAAAAAAAAAGTGGAACCATCAGGTTGCGTCGCGGTGCTTTTTTTGGGAGGGCTTCTGGGATTTTTAGGAGAGAGGAAGCAGCGTGCACAGCCACCTGCAAGGCAAATCCAACAATCCTCAGAGGCAGATTAATGGCTGAGAGGAACATGGTAAAAGGTACTCAAAGGAAAATCATGAAATACTATTGTCATCCACCTCTCTGGCACCGTTGAACGCTGTATTTGTACTTGAGGAGCACAGCAGGCAAAATGTGCCCATCACCTAGAACAAACGCCTCCTCTCCATACCTCAGCAGCATCCTGCGCAGGGTCAGGCACATGCAATCCTGGCTGTCCTCTGCCAGACGTGTAACTAAAAAGGTGGAACTAACATCCGTAAGAGCGGAAAGCTGGTATCGTGTCCTTATTTAGGCAAAAAGCTGGCTGGCTCCAATGATTTTCATCTAAGAAAGCTAATAGGGAGAAACCCCTCGCTCCTCTGCAAAGCACAAATCCCAGTTCAGCGAGACATTTAAGCACATGCCTAATTTAAAGCTTGAAAGAGATCCTCCTAATAACCGGGCTGCTTGCATATTTACTGCTAGGCACAGGCTTAAGTACCTGGATGATCTGGAAATACCCCGTAGCCCCCGGAAAACAGACTAAACCAGCTCTGTTTCTAAATTAATCACAGGGATCCAAACAGAACGGCTAATATTAAACGGCGGGGGGCTGTGTGTGCGCACACATCTGTTCAAGTTTAGGCATATAAAACATTTTTCAGTCCAATGACTCCATAGGAAAATGCCTCGTACATCAGCTCATCTGACTCAAATTTTCCATCGCATTTCCCTTGATACACTTTTGCCCATAAATACACTATTTTTCCAAATATAGCTTCTTATTTGTAGAGTAAGAATGCCCTGTATCTCGTGTTATTATAACCCCTGGGTTCTTTCTTGAAATGTAATCATTAAGAAATTATTATGGAGGTATGGAATGAAGCTACCTACATTTGCAGAAGGAAAAATGCTTTTTTTTTTTTTCTGCAATATTTACCATTCTCAGTACTGCCTTCAGAAGCGTGTTACCCAGAAAATACTTGGTAGCACCCTACCTGCCCGGCCACACGTAGCCGTACACCAATTTAGCTCAAAATGACGGACTAAGGTGCACTGTATTTCAGAGAAACATAAGTTTTTAAAAATCCCAACCAGATCTTCCAGACAGTCCACAATTTGGATTGACCTGTGTTACTACCCACACAGCGATAAGGATTTGTGTTTATTGTAGGAGTAGCACAGAAAAGGAAATCCAACAATGCAGCCTTCCCTTCCAAGAAGGGATTTGATGATAAACTCATTTTTGTGGCTTCTAGTAGAAAGTGAACAGTCAACCAAAAAGATGATAAACACTGGGGAGCAAACACATTGTTTAGGTGTTTAAAGAGTAATGCTTTCCAGAAGTAGAATTTAAACATCGAGCAATGTAAGTAAAATAGTAAGTAAAATCTGAATTCCTATCATTCTACCATTGTTAGCCACAGCTTCAGTCAGAAGCGAACGCAGCACGAGTACGAGGTGCTGCAATTCCAGCCCCACTGCCCACAGGAAGCCCAGTGAGCAAATGGGATGGCCGATAATTAGGTGGGGTCCTGCACTAATTAGGTGGGGTCCTGCACAGCACCTCCACCACTGCACGAAGCGCAGCCAACAGGGCTGGTCCCCAGAAGGGGACGTGGCCGTGGAGCAGGGACCTGCTGCCAGCAGCACGCCCATAACACGGGGACCTGTAGCTGCTGTCCCTGACCTCACGCAGGCCAGCAGCAGTAAAGCCAGAGCGAGCGTAAGGGGAAATATATAAAAAGTGGAAAGCATTAATGAAATGTTTCTTACTGGAGTAACTCCTGTTATCTAGGAGACGCTCCGAAGGTGTTTGCTGGATGAAAAACAAAACCTGGAAGCAGCATGGGGAGAAAGGATCACCTTCAGCGAGACATCATCCGTCCTCACAGAGCCCGTGGAGCTGTGGGGAACAAAGGGGCCCATTATCCGCCCAACTTTTTACTCCAACTGTTTAATGATCGTTACCATTGTCTGAGTCTGTGTCACCATTCAGAGGGTCCCGTCTGAGCAATCAGGCTGAAGCACAAACAAGAGACCTGTTGTAATTCGCGTTGGTTGCCTACATGCGAGAAAAAGGCTGGTGGAAATCCAAAGTGGCATCAGAAAAACAGCCCCCAAATCGCCTCCCTCCCGCTGGCACAGCGCAGACAGCAAGTCCGTAATTTCCCTGCTCGTCCCAGCCTCAAAAGGAGCAGCAGAGGATGGCTCATCACCCGTCACCATCTATAGCGTGGCACTTTGGACAGGCTGCTGCGAAGGAAGAGCTGTGGCATTTAAACCCCTCGTGCTGGTGGAAGAAGGAACCAGGAGCTCCCCAGCCCTGGTGGCCACGCTCGGCTCCCACGCAGGAGCGAGGCACAGCCCGGCCGCGACGCTTCCCAGCGGGGAAAATCGGGGCACGAGTGCCCTGCGCTGCCTCACAGCGGGTGAGCGAAACCACGACGAGTTGGTGAAGCCAATGGGAGAACCCAGCTTCTGTCAAAGCTGTTGTAAGAGGACAAAGCACGGCGTTAACGGGAACTACAGCTGTACAGCTGCAGAGGACGGGGCACTGCGCACCTGTGGCTGCGTACCAGTGACCGCCGGGGCAATGCTGGTGAACGGATTCAAGAACATTCACCAAAAGTCAGGGGATGAGCACAATCTGCCTGGGTTTCTCCCTTCCCGTCTTCCACAGACCCCGTTTTGCTTTGAGAAGGAGCTGAGGGGTCACCACACCGTAACACGTCCTTACCCCCAGCGGGGCTGCTCAGCGAAAGCTGCACAGGGTGCACTGAGGCTCCCGAGCAGCAGGACCTGACCCACGCGTGTCCCAGGCGCTCGGTCCGTAACGCAGCCACCAAGAGAGCCACTGTCAGGATAAAATCACTCCTGATAAAGTTTCTACGTTACTTTGTTGGTCTTAAGTGTCTGAATTACACCTGCAGACAATTCCAGGCACCACAAGAAATGTTCTGGATCTCACCCTTGGCTTGCTCTGGACGGTAAAAAAAAAAAAAAAAAAGGTTAGTTTTAGGGGAATTTTGGGGACTTGGAGGAGTTGGGAGTTGCTGGCAGTCAACACATTACTAAGTGAACAACTCTGTACATTAAAAACTCATCGCAAACTTTCCACCACCAGCTAGATTTTAGTTTAAGATTTTTGCCCTTGAATCTTGTCCTTGTCAGATATAAAACTACGCAAAGCCAGAAAAATCCTTTTAATATCTCACCTATGCAGGCACAATTCCCAAACTAATTATCTTTTTAAACCACAGAAAATTCTTTAGAAAAAACGTGTCTAAAGTTAAAACTGTGAAGCACGCACTAAAATCTTTCCTGGATTCTTACATTGGTCTGAACTTGTCCAGAGCCTTGCTGTGCCTGTGTTAGTCCGAAGCCCATTCTGCTGCT